ATTTATGTAAATCTGAATGACAAATTATATATATATTATAATTTTGATTATTATTATTATTATTATTATTATTATTAATTTTATTATTACTATTATTATTATTGTTATTATTATTATTATTATATTATAATTATTATAATAATTATCACTGAAACTATGCTTATTCACATTGCATATTTACTTGTGCATTCATTTTTCCTTACCTATCATAATCGTTTTATTATGTTTGAATTCTATCATTCAGTTTCCATTATACCTTTTTTGAATCCATCATCAAATATTATAGTATAGACATGTTTTATTAGTGTGCGATACATAATGTGCTTAAAAATTCTTGCCGCTTATATGTTTACCGCCATTATTGGCCACATTTTTCTATCCGGTTATTCAATTTGTATAACAACACGTTTCTTTTGTCCTCTGTCAGCATCTGTACAAATTTGGCAACTGATGATTCAACTGCAATCGAGGACATATGGGATTTCAGTTGTGTCCCCTCCATGCAGCTGTCCTGTAGCTGAAGCTGGGCAAACACAAGGGTTGCGCTGGAACCCAATCGGGGTCGAAGCGACATCGTCTTCATTCCCATTGGTCCGTTCCGCCTGAGCAGCGGATAAGAGCTGTTGCTCTAGTTGTCTCGCTCTCACTTTATCCGCGTGCAAAATGAAAGAAACTCAACAGTTGCCCCCATATTAAAGTCTTTGGCATTATTTTTTTTTTAACTTGAGAGCTTTGCATAAATTTGCATTACAATAAGCCAAGGTCACTTGTTAATTCATTCACATTGTAAATACTGTAATAAATAAATGGCTTAATGCCATCAGATATGTAAGTCGGGTACATATAAAAAGGTAAATACATAATTAAATGAATATAATTTCCTTTCACTTTTTGCGTATTAAGCCTCGTAGTTGTCAAACGTTGAGCTGCAAAGGGTGAAATTTCAGGGCAAGAAAATAATTCGATAAACAACCATTTTGCAATTTGCGATAAGATAACGTTACTTATTTATACATTTTGCCCTGACATAAAGCTTTAATGTGCACGCACATATCTAATTTATTCAATATGAACTAATTTAGTATGTGTCTATTTTTATAGCAAAACTTTAACCGAAGCGTACAAGAGCATATCTAAATATACCCAACTTTTATCCTCACTAACTGACCTATTGACTGATTGAATTTTATGCTCGATTTATTTGATCGGTTTTTTCTAAATTCGGTTTTAGATAATTCCACCGGAAACTATGGAACTGTTGTATAAAACTTTAATTTAAGTATGGAAATTCAATAAAGCCGCTTTTCGCCCATTTCGAAAATCCACCCCTTATAAGAAATATGGCGGTCAAAGTAGATTTGAACAAATTATCAAGGCAAAAAGTTACGTTTAAAATTAAATGTTTAAACTTAGCTAAGGCAAGTTCTATTTATGCACCCTCAGCATGTTATTTTTTTTCAATTATGTAGGAAAATAAACATAACGTATTTATAAATATCGCCCTACAATGCGATTCTAATGAATTTGAGTAAGCCCCACAGATGTTCATGATTATGTTTTATATAAAAAAGTTGTTCTGGCAATCTTATTACCTTTATTTCTGCTCATACTTTGATTCTCATATACATAGCTCTGTAGCTCTCTCGCCTTTTAATTTCATCCCTCCTTCTCCTGCTCTAATTCTACTTTCCTTTGTTTAATAAGTGATATTATATAAAGGAAATATACATATATAGCAATTGAGTATAGTACTTACATAAGTTTAAAAATGCACCAGTTAATTAATAATAAGTCATGTGGGATTAAATCTATCAATCAATAAGAAGATCCGCGTCTATTTGTACATAGAGAAGAGACACTTTTGCTGCACTTTAAAACGATTTACTTGTAATGAATTTATGCTCCAATTATGAGTTTTGACCAATAATAAGCTTAAAATCGTATTAATTAAAACAATGAGGACGTCTGGTCGAATTGTAATTACATATTCAATTAGAGGAGGCTCGGTTGAAGCCCAGTTAACATTTTGGCGACAGGCTCCGTCGGCGCCGGCGTCGTCTTCGGCGTCTGTCAATGCAACAGGCAGCCGGGTACAGTAAAGCCCGATAAGTGCGTACAATTAATTAATCATTACAGAATTGAAAACAAAACAGAAAAAAGCCAAAAGCTGCACAAAAAATGGCACAAATATCGATTTACCCAAAAATATAAAAGAAAACTACAAAATACCGCCAATGCGACAGACACAGACTCGGACTCGGACTCGGACTCGGACTCGCACTCGGCGCTGTGACAGTCGGCGCCAGGCAATCCATCAATTTATGCAGCGCCAATTACGCCTGTTACTGTTACTCGTCACGTCTCCAACCCGGTCGGATACGGGCAGCTGCCACTGGAAGTTAGAAAAACTTTCAAAGTCGCTTTGTAACGTGCTGTCAGCCACATGGCTGACGCCCCACGCCCTACCCCGCATACACTGGCGTCAAGGGTTTGGTCATTTTTTTTGGGAACGATTGTAATGAGCTTAGTCGAAATATCAGTCAATTGTCGCCTGACCAATGACGCCTTCTAAAGTACTTGTCAAATCTGTGTCATACTTCCGACGGCGTCAAAAGCATTTGTAGACTTCAATTATGTGACTTACATGTGACCAGTGTTCTCCCCACCCCCTTCCCAATATGATAATTTACTTACTAATTAGTATAAGTTCTATTACTATAACAGTTAAGGTAGGTACAAGGATGAAGGCAATTTATGAAATTCGTGAAAAGGATGTTGTATACTCGCATTAATCTAAGCTTTTTACATATACTTGCTTAATCGTCAATGCAAAATATTGCTTCTCTCAAACTTAAATTTAAAATAATATCAAAAAAATTAAATTATTAGCAGTCCCATAATCCTTGGAAATCTTGCTATATTTATGCAACCAGTAAAGTAGGAATATATGTCTTACCCGAACATCATTCTATTAATAATAACTATAACGTTAATCATAATAATATTAATAAAAATTATTATGTAATAATATAAATAATAATCATTATTATTATTATTATTCAATTACTTGTATTAATATTATATAAATATAGAGGCCCTAAAACTTGCTGCTAATATATCTTTCTTGTGTTTCGTTTGTTAATTTTTTATTTTTTCGTGAAGGACTCCCTTTTAAAAGGACTTATACCCATAGAAAAATCCATTAGAACCACTGACAGCATATCAACTGACTTGACTTCCTATCTAGAGAAGTATTCTAAGAAACTCCATAATTTGTTGTCCACATCCACTGTAGCGCTAAAAAATCGTGCCAATTTCGTTATATGCTATCTTTATATATTGTGTGTAAAATATCTACATCCAGCATTAGAGACATTTTCTCTGCGTTTAACTTTCCCTATCACACACATTTCCTTCTATAAAAAATTTATATTTTAGCAAGCTCAACGCAGTTTTTTAAATAAATGTTTAATTTGCGCTTTCATGAAGCATATACTTATTAAAGTAAATTTATTGTTTGTTTATAGACCCCAGAAATCAGACCATACCTAATTAAATATTGCATTCAAAATTCGATTGTAAGCGAATTGGAGTTTATATTGCTGGGTAGCTGGGCTTAGAGTGCATTCCTAAATATGCTACAACATATACATATATATATACCTATATATATATATATATATATATATATATATAAATCAATATCTAGATACCTTTATATTCCTTGTAAGACCCAATTTCCTCAACTGCAGATAACATAATACACTCATACCCGGGTGCAAGTGTATAGGTGGAACATGGCCACTTGCCATGTGGGACCACTGAATGTGGAACTCCACGTACGCTTGGAAGCTGAATATAAAAACACACACATCCTGTTACTATTAATTGCTGCTGTCCGAAAATATAACAAATCACCTTGGAGCGCTGGGCACAGACCCAAAAGGACGAGACTGTGAAGCAGCCCAAAGTAAGTTGTTGGCAACGGGAATGGGAATGGGAATGGGAAGTGGATTGCGTTTGGGATTGGGATGTGGGTTGGGCCACGGCCACAGCAAACCACCAACTATGAGTACACGACAAAAACTTGTGAAAATGTCAATCAACTTGTACAAAAACCAAGAGAAAAAGCGACAACAACAACAGGAAACACAAAAGTTTTCCAAACAGACAGTCAGACAGACAGACAGACAGAAGAAACAGACAGGCAGCCAAAGATGATGCATTGTGCATGAAAGGTGCAATGCCGGTTTTTGGGCATAAAGATATCTTGAATATTGTATCTCTATCTGGGCAGTGTGACAGACTCGTAGGGGGCGCCTACGAATTGCATCCCACTGAGTCAGAGTCAGAGTCAGAGACGAGACGAGACGAGACAAGAAGGCGATTTAAATTCCACAGCAGCCATAGATGGGCCTGTCATATGTGGATATGATGATGACGATTGACAGCTGCATCCCCTGCCGGCACATCCCAGTCGAGCTTCGTTGACCAATTTTGGCCACTACCTGGACTGTCAATTCATTTGGGAGTTTTGGCTGCGTGTAGGTGCGAAAACACAAATAACAAAACGTGCCAAAAGTATCAAAAAGAAAAATGTATTCATATGTGTTTGCTATATGTGTGTGCCTGTGCCTGTGTGTGCGTGTGTGGCTTCCAGTTAAATAAGACATGAACATGGGCGTAACTCTAATATCAGCATTTGCCCTGGGACCGGCAAAAACTAAATGAAAACAGCAACTGCCAAAACCGGTAATGACTAACCCCCGTGCCGGTGCCGGGAGTTCACTGATAAGAGCTCTTGTGGCCGACACTGAACGGTGGCGCGAGCGAGATGCCACTATGCTCGCCAGCCGAGGCGCAGGCCTAGCCCAGTAGGCGCAAGCGAGATGACGGCTATTGCCGGTTCGGGGCGTGGCCTGCAGGCATGCCGCTCGTCGCTGTGTGTGTTGCTGGGTTGGCTGCCCGGCCAGCCAGCAATCAGTCACGACTTGGTTAGCGCGCATGCAGCACGAAGTTCATGAACCGTCGCGTAGTAAATAAAAAAGAGACCGTCGGAACTGTAACTGAAACTGTTATGGCGCGTTTCTTGTAACTGTTTATGACAGTGTGCCAAAATGTATTGAAAATCAAATGAAAGCCGCGTGTTTATAATCAATTATTTAAATATTTAAACGTGCCTCTGTTTCGACAAGCTGTTGGCTCACCCAAAAAATTTGTATTTGCAAAAAGTTAGTTTGTGTTAAAAACAAAACAAATATTTAAATTGCCCAAAGCAACCATTTTGGGAATTACCACATATATATTGCCTAAAATAATGACTATTTTTGAAGCTATAAAATCAATTTCATATTTTTGCAACAGTTTTTCAGTATTCCATATTCAATATAATGCCCTATATAAGCTGATGTTTAAAAAGAATGCTTTCCCTTTTCGTTTACATTCATAATCAAAACTAGCCCAATATCTTAAACTTATATATAGCTTTATGGGTTTATCCTTTTGAGCTGGAATTCAGTTTAAAAAAAAATAAATAAAAATTTAAGTAATATTTTTCTTAACATAATGAACTCTTTTGAACCACTCGATGGATAAAATAGAACTCTTAAATGGTCTTATACTTTTAGGCAATATCAAATTAAACAGCATTTAACCTTAGACACAAATTTAGGCAATTTCCCAAGTGGTTTTAGACAATAAAATTCTTTGAGTGCAGTTTTGGCATACAATATGATGGACGTTAGCAGCATGTACGGCAACCATCCTCATCATCATCCTCATGCCACGGCCACTGCCTATGATGGCTATGGCAGCAACTACTTTCCCTCCCCGACGCACCACCACCAGCAGCAGCAACAGCAGCAGCAACAACAGCAGCAGCAACTGCATCAGCAACAGCAACTACAGCAGCAAGTGCAACAGCACCAGCAACTGGCCTACAGTGGCTACGACAGCAACTCGCCCAACTACTATCAGCAGCAGCAACAGCTAACGCCACCGCCAGCACAGCACCAGCTGCAGCATCCACTTGCGCAGCAGCAGCAACAGCAGCAGCAGCAGCAGCAACTATATCCGCATTCGCATCTGTTCAGTCCCAGCGCTGCGGAGTATGGCATAACCACCACGGCGGCGGTAGCGGCACCCAACAGCACTCCATTGCATCCCACTAGCCACTCGCCCGCCGACTCCTACTATGAGAGCGACTCAGTACACTCCTACTATGCCACAGCCGCTGTGGCAACGGTGCCGCCACCTGCAAACAATTCACCGGTAACCGCGGCCAATGCGACGCAGCAGCAACAGCAGCAGCAGCAGGCATTGGATGCGCATGCGCCCATCATTAGCTCCGAGAATGGCATGATGTACACAAATCTGGACTGCCTATACTCGCCCAGTGTGGCACAGCAGGCGCAGACTCAGCCGCATGGCTATGGCGGTCAAATGGAGGAGAAATATGCAGCGGTCCTGCATGCAGGCTACGCGGCACCGCCGCCTGGCATGCTGCTGGAGGATCCGGATTCCATGATGCAACTGGCTGCCGGACAGCAACAGTCGCCGCCGCAGATGTGGCATCATCATCAGCATATGAGCGGTGGCTATCCGCTAGATGCGGGCATTGCCATGGACTATCCACACGCCCACTTGCATCACAGTCTCAGTCATGGCCATCTGGCCAGTTTGACTACCAGCGCGCAGCAGGCACAACAGCAACAGCAACAACAACAGCAGCAGCAACAGCAGCAACAGGCAAACAGCTCACAGGCTCAGGTTGTGCCACAGCATTCGATATCACCAAACGGCTCGACCAACTGCATGACCATGGCCCGGAATCATCGCAGCGGTGGCGTCACATCGCCTGGTAGCTCCACCTCGTCATCAACAACATCTGCGTCTGCAGCCAACTCCACGCACCAAGCGAGCTCACAATCAAAATCGCCAAATCACGCGGCCAACATTCCAACTTACAAGTGGATGCAGCTCAAACGGAATGTTCCCAAGCCACAAGGTAAGTTTTGCCCCAAGCAAATGTTATGTTTACCTAATTAAGGTACTCCCTTCTCTACATACATATATATTCTATCTTAATACATGCCTGCAATTATGGTAACGTAATTGGTTTTAACTAATGCTAATGTCGGGAAGAGAGGGAATTGCCTAAGCAATTACATACGATTCCATACTATTCCTTCATTAAAAATCTATTTATATATTGGTACAAACATAAAATTTTATAATCGGACCTCGTCGCTTGGATTTTTAAATATTGAACAAAGGTCTGATGATTACAACAATGGCAAAGACTTTGGGGCATGAGAGCTTCAAGGGTTCGGAACAGGTCTGCAGGGCAGATCCAGAGGGTGGAAGCATTTTAAACGGCGGGTGTGGGAACTGTTGTCTACATTTTTGTTGTTGTTAAGACTTGAAAAATCTAAGCCAAATGATTATATTTTATTTCATGGTTAATATTTATTAGCGTGAGGCTAAAACTATCTTGCTCTAAGGCTGTGATCACAGAAAATCCAGAATGCTCAAGACAATTAATTCGCCATTTTAATTTAAATAAGCAGCTGAGATATATATTAAGTCTGCGTCAATCAGCACACCTTTAAATTAATTACGTAATCGCTCTAATAGATATTTTTTTGGCAAAATCACAACAACAGATTCCGCCAATAAGGGCCAATATATTGTACATTCTGTGCGATTATCAAGGATGAACACATAAGCCTTTCAACTAGACCTTTCATCATTTTGGCACCTTATTCGAATCGCTTTAACATGGGTAGTTAAGCAACTATTAAATAGTTTTAATAATTGCCATTTCAGCTTCCACCAAAACCCATTTACTAATGTCAATTTAAACGCTGCCATCAATAGATCACAGCTAACAAAATGAATATATTAAACCAGTTAAACAAGATGTGCCTAATTAGGTGTTTAAGATATTACATACCACAACAACAAAAAAAAAACGCAAAAGGGTAAAACCAAAACAAAATGAAATACAATTTTTAAATCAAAAAAACGATGACTTTCAAAACTGATTGACAGTCCAGATATACGCGAAAGAACCAAGTGCGTCAGACGTCCCACCGAGGGCATGTCACCTAAAAATAAGAACGTCTCTTCAAATGCCAAAGATTTAGCCTGCCGGTCTCTCATAATTTTCGCTGTTTCAGACGCAATCCCTCTTCCCCCCCCCCCCTGTCCCTTACCTTCCACTTTGGCATATTTCTTGCATATTTCAGATAATTTTGTCAATGCTGTGCAGTCAGTCAGGTTGTCACTTGTCACGGCGCTGAGAAGTTTTGTATCTTGAAATTAGCCAACTAAGAAAAATACTCAACGGATAATAAACTGAAATTCATGATAAACTGCGCGTTCAGTAATATGTGGAACCTGTGTATATGAAATATAAAATGAATAATTAATATGTTCGTAATTGGACTTTGATCGTTGTAAGTTGTCGATAAATATTTTAAAGCTTAAGAGCGCTTATGGAAATCTTTTTGCTGGATATCGGAGAGCTCAAAACGATTACATTTTTCTTCATTTAAAAATTTGTCTGATATTTATCTTACCATGGATATTTGATTTATTCATCTCAATCAATGTATAACAAATTTATTTTTATGAAAAATATTAAAAGTGGATTGTGTCTTCGAGTTTTCATTAATTATTAAAGTCAGAAGCTTGCGAAATAATATACGTTCTTTTTCCATTATTCGTAATAATTTCAAAATTTTTAGAATACAAAACAAACCAATTGTTAGGAACATTTTTTTACAATCCTTTGCGGTCTATAAAAAAAATATCGTTTTCAGCAACAATAATTGTAATATATTTTCTATAAGCTAAATATTTGCATGTGAGATATATGCACCTGATCATCTATTTCGATAAGATATTCTCATAAAACAGCTTTAATCTTATAAGCTTTTTTAGTTTTGTAAAATATCAAATTATATTGACTACTATTTTGATCTGCCTCTAATGAAATTGATTGATTTGTATCGCATTCTTACTGAATGCGTGCTCTGAAGCTTCTCTGAACCTGTTGGGCGAATCGATGTAACAGGCGCATTTGACTTCCAGACCTCAAAACTAGTTAAGGCACTTTACCTGTTGCGACAGCAGCCCGAGTTCGATCAGATATCAGCCAGAGCGCTCCTACCACTTACAGCTGGAACGTAATCCCCTTGCTACACCAATAATCATACAAATATTTGCTTATTAATGCTGAAAAGTGTCATTTACATGCATCGTTTTCAATTAAACGACGCCAGAGATCCCCACGCGCCGCACCCAAAAGCTGGGAGCTGCGATGACAATGACGTGTGCAAGTGGAGGCCAGCCCCATGTCCGAGCCCAAATCCGTATGGGGCGCTTAAACGTCGCGCGTCTCGAGCAAGTCAAACAAACAATTGAAGCATGCAAGAGCAAGGGGAAAAGAAAAGAAAAGAAAATGAAAAGAAAATGAAAAATCATAATAACATAAAATAAGTATAAAAGAAATGCAGCACGGAATGAAGCTCAAGAATGAAGCCAAGCTACTCACATGGCAGTTGTCGCTGCGACTGTGGCTGAGGCTGTTGCTGTTGCTGGATGCCGATCTGGAAGTCAAGTTGGCTGTCAGAAAAAATGATTATTTAAATAAAGAGTTCTTGTTTGCGACCCGCTGCAACCGAACTGTCACTGAGTCCAACCTCAAGAGCTGGACAAGAGACGCAGACGAAGAGCAGGTCTCGTTCCCGATCGCAGACTTGATCGCCGTCTTGGTCTCGATCTCAGTCTCTGGCTCGGTCTCTGGCTGTGCGCGCGCATGCTTGCCTCAGTCCATCTGTCATGTCATCCATTTTCAGCCAGAGAAACAGCATAATCAGCAATCATGGTTATAAATGGTAGCATTCGACATATTGGCATTCACGCACAGCAGAAGCTTGCCAGCAAAATGCGTATTTCGAAATGCCTACATACACTCGCACTCGCACTCGCACTCGCATTCACATTCACATTCACATTTGCATTCATATTCATTGCATTCAATTCAATGATCTTTAATGTGTTAATCAGTATTTTTCAATAACCAGACCATATCACAAATACTGGAGCGGGTAAAAGTGGGTGCGCGGGAATATTGACTGCTATAAAATGGAATAGCTTTCCTATGCTACCTGCAGATCAATTCACTATACACTAGATTAATTGCATTTTTGCAAGGGATTTGCCACTGACAATTTGGCCAGGAATTTGTCAATAGACTGCAAACTTCATATAGACAGAGTATATATATATAGACTGAGTAAACAGCGGAATGCAACGAGTAGCTACTCACTCCCCAAGTTTTTAAAATATTAACTAAAAAGAATATTTTATATTGAAATAATACAAGTTGACTTTACTTTCCACATGTATATATACATTTAAGCTCTTTGACTTTCCTTTAGTTTTTTTCTGTTCTACTATTTATGGCAAATCAAATGGATCAGATGAAAAAGAAAAAGTAAAAAAATATTCAAAATATGAATTTAATATTTAACTAAGAAGCAATTTAATGCAATATAGTGAGGAAAAGAAACTACAGGGTGTGTTTTTTGTGTGATGTCTATGTTTTAGCCAAGTAATTGATTTCTTACTAGTATTATTTGTAAAAACGAATATGCTGTCTTTGAACCATTTAAAAGCTAATCACAAACAAATTTTTAAATATTTTTTAAATGGGTCAAGTTCATTTAGGGGAAATTATTATTATCTATCATATGCATAAAGCCAGCTTTAAAGTAATTGTAAAACATATGCAATTTTGTATAAAAGTTATCTGGGCTTTATCTTTAGCAACTATGCTCCGCCCCAGAGCCAGCGCTCATTGATTGGGAGTTTTCTCACCCGTTTTATGAGTACACTTATCTCATACTCGTATAGCCCTAAATCATGCTCCACACGATGTGAGTATTTGTTAACGTTTATTGGTCTTTTTATGGGCGCACATAATTGAAAACTGTCCACCGTCTTGCGGCATAACAATTTAATTACTATCCGTAGTTAAATAGTTGTGCCTCGTTTGCAGTTCGGGCTCGTGTTTTATTGTTTTTTAAACGATCTACCACTTTGTCGCGGCATTTCCCCCCGTTGGGTGTTGGGGGCGGGGCAATACTCGAGTAACACGCAAACTATGCCATATGAAAATATGAAATATGAATAGAGCTCACCAAAGTGAACGAAAACGAAACCTAACACAAGAATTAACATAACTGTCGGTCCGACCTGTAACTAGCTGAGTTAAAAACTTGGGCCAAAGTTCGACAAGGTGTTGCTGGGCACGGGGGTAGCTGGCGAGGGCATACGGAGGAGTGGTTCGGCCCTTGCAGCTCGCTGTGGCGTATTCAACATTTATTTGATGTGATGTTTTGATATTTCTTGACACCAACACGCGACGGCGACGCAGCGCCGAATGTGCCACAGTGAAATGAATTAATTACGTGCATTTCAAAACAAAACACAAAAATGGAAGAAAAAATTACAGAAAACAAAAACCCACAAAAAAAACGGCAGACTATTTAAACGAAATGATATTGTGGATAGAAAAGTGGCCACCAGGAATTTGAGATAAGATCAAACGCTTGGCCAAACCAAGCCGAACCGAACCGAAAGCCGTACCGAGTCCAGACAGCGGCCCGCCCGCCTGTCTGTCACCGTACGTCACAATGGCTAGTTGGATTGGCCTCGGTCTTGGCCCTCAGACCCAGGGAGCCACCAAAAAACACAAATAAAAAATACATATCCAAAAAAAAAATATGTGCGGCATGTGTCGTGACAAATTTTGTTCGCTCGCGCGCGTTGAGCTAACATTTTTGAAAGCGTGTTATTAAATTCCCTTCCAACGGGGTAAAGGGTCAGCACGGGGCTGTGCCATCAACTTATTCGGAGTAGCAACCGCGGCTTTTCCTTTTCCTTCAGATTGGAATCGATTTGTAAACTGATAAACGCCACAGTACTTACATTAAT